TCTTATGAAAATCTATATGAAACATATTATCCCAATATATCATGTCCTATTAACAGTTGTTTTGATATATTAAATTGTTATCATTCATCATTACTCATCCAATCACTAGCTGAAAATAATCAGGTAAAAAACAAATCTATTGTATAGAATAACGTGTAACATATTTTTCATATCGCTAACGAAACAGATGTGCTTGTATGTAACAGACAAAATAGGTTCTATTTCAATATTGATAGTATTAAAAAAAGGCTTTCCAGTATACATCTTGTTGTTTTAACGCATTAGATATAAATAGATCGATTTCTCTTGAATAAATGCCCTTCAAATAGTTTTTTGATGAATAGAAAAAAGGAAAATGATTTTATAAATATAATGTTTATTTGATTATTTAGATTTCTCTTTCATCAATACAAACAATTGTTGAAAATTTAATAACTCATTTTCGTTTAATAATCGAACAATCTGATCATTTATATATAAAAGAAAAACAATTACTTATTAATGAATTAAATCAAATAAAAATTTTTATTGGTCATTATGAATCTTCAACAGTCTATTCTCTTCCTGATATTCAATCAACTTCATATCTTAAATATGCTCAATTATTTTCATCGATATCATATGATCAATATGATTATTCATTTTCAATTGAACCTATTTATAATCCAATAAATCATACACTTTTACTTCCATATGGTTTTATTTATTTATCAAATCATTCAATTGAATATCCATTAACGAGATTTTTCTTAAAAATTCTTTTTCAAACTATTCGATCAAATCCATTTTCAATTGAATGTTTAATAAAATCATTTGATGATTTTAATTCAACAATAACGGATATTAGTGATGAACATATAACATATTTATTATTTCGTTCAAAATTTTTATTTGAAAATAATATTATTTTTGATGAATATCTATGGCCATTCATGAGTGCAAATTCATTAATAAAACGTTTCCTTATTGATTATACAGCAAATAATTATTGTCAAAGTTTAAATGATTATCATTTATTTCTTAATAATACATATTTAAATGATGATGTTTATTTAGTATTTCATTGTCAACAAGCTAGTTCTATTAGACAATCGAAATGTAGTGTTATATGAGTGTTTTTCTTTTATTTTATGTATTACAAAAAATATATATATATTACAATAAAAATTTATTTGTCTTCAATAGTGTTTATATAAGAAATATAAATGGCTAAAGCCAGTCGTATTGTATCTTGCGCCGCTCGGAGCAACTTGCATAGATATATTAATGTATAATACCATATTTAGCATATAAATTAATTTTATAAAATGATCACAATAATAAATTGAGATTAGTTTCAAGTAATTGAATCTTTTTTTAAAGTCGGATTTAAACACGAATGATCATAGTTTGTTGTTGATGATGATGATGAATCATATGAATAGAGAATTTCATCAAATGGTCGAGCAGAAATTTGTGTATTGTGTATTAATGAGATAAGTTTACGTGAATGAAAAGCCATGGTTATGTTACGTTGAAATAATAATTGTGAAAACGACTGTAACATTATTATGTAAAATGAGATATGTTTTTGTTATCGTCTTATATAGTGTCGTTCGCTTGTCTATTTATATTGTTTTGGAGGCTTGCACACAGTGCACTATCAATACGTAACTGGAGAACGACAGGAAAGAGACAAAAAAAACTGATCGTACTTAATTACATGCACTCTTATATACTTTGCGCGCAATCATGCGACTGCCTGTTATATCTCAAAAATCTACACGTTGACACTTTTCATGTTTTATCTTTTTTTTTTCAATTCTTCGTTTCCCTTGATCGAGGAAAATAGCGCACATGGTGCGCAAACTAGTACATTGTCGTTTTATTACATTATTATACTATATAATATAATAAAATGCAATCATAATTCTATACTAAACAACCTTGTTGACGTAGTCTATTCGTATGAGATATTTTTCTTTATTAGAATGATAAGTATGTATCAAAACAAAACAAGAGACAACAAAGACAAAAAAAAGACACAATGAAACAACACTCGAGGGTATGAAACAGTTCATTTATTTTTTATTTAAATAAGATCAGCAACATTCATTGGCATTTCATCAATTTGTGTTGCGTAATATTGTTCAATATCTCGTAGAATACGAATATCATCATTCTTAACAAAATCTATGAAGAAAAAAAAATAAATAAATAAAAATTTATATGAAATCTTATTCAACTTACTTATAGCAACACCTTTACGACCAAATCGACCTGAACGACCAATACGATGAATATACAATTCACGAGAATTTGGAAGGTCATAATTAATAACCAAACTAACTTGTTGAACATCAATACCTATTAGAAGAAAAAAACAAAACAAATATATATATTATTTGTTTTTGAAAAAAAAAGAATGTATGCGATTTACCTCGAGCCCAAACATCAGTTGTAATAAGTACTCGTGTATCACCAGCACGAAATTCTTTCATGATAGCATCACGTTCTTCTTGTTTCATATCACCATGCATTGATGATACGGTAAAGTTTGCTTCACGCATTTTTTCAGTTAACCAATTAACTTTTCGTTTTGTATTACAGAAAATAACGGCTTGTGTTATTGTTAATGTATCATATAAATCGCATAATGTATCAAATTTCCATTCTTCACGTTCAACAGCAACAAAAAATTGTTTGATACCTTCAAGTGTCAACTCATCACGTTTAACTAAGATACGTATTGGATCTGTCATGAATTTTGTTGTGACTTCAAGAATTTCATGTGGTAATGTTGCTGAAACAAGAACAACTTGGGTTTGTGGTGGTAAATGACGATAGACTTCATAAATTTGTTCTTTAAAGCCAAGATTAAGCATTTCATCAGCTTCATCTAATATTAACATTTTTATATGACGTGTTCCTAAAATAAATTGAAAATGTATAAAGATTATTTATTGTATGGGTGGAAAAGTCATCGATACTTTTTATAGACGTGAAAAAATCTGAATCTATTCTTATTAATAAATGAATCGTTCAGAAATACTTTACAGAGTATGTCTTCATATCATTATTCAAAGATATACACAATCAATTGCGATTATTTTCGTCTCTATTTATTGCTCATTCTTTATAAAGAGTCTTATATTACATTTCAATATAATTATTTCATACTAAAACGGAAATTTTCAAATGACCGATCAATATCTTAATATATTTCTTTATAGAACTTAAAAGAGTATTTCGTTATTTTCTAAGTCAGAGGAAAAATTCTCAATTATATTTTACAAATATTGAGATCAATTAAAATCATATAAGGGTCAATCCATGTTAAAAGAAATTGTGACTTCTGTTTGATGTACTGTAATGTCTTATCCTTTCCTAAAAAGAGGAGAAAAGATTACTCAAGTTCTTATCATCCATATACGATACTTTTAAAAAGAACAGCTTTAGTTTAACTTGCGCTAAAATACTTTCTAGGCGGTAAATATGGTGAAATTGGTCCACTAATCGTTTATCATCAAAAGAAATATAAGCCTTAAATATTACAATGATGTTTTGTATTTTCCTGCTTCTTAAAAAAGTGTTTTGAAGCTATAGTATATCTAATTCAGTAACAGTTTACTTAGCATAAAAAAATCTTATGTTCAAATAATAGCTAAATATCACTATGGCTGCTAAATCTTGCACTACTGAATATTTATCTTTAACTCAAATAATTATTTCATTTTATAAAAAATAAAGAAATTGATAACATACGTAATGATCCTCGATTAATCATATCAATAACTCTTCCTGGTGTTCCACTGACAATATGTTGTCCATAATCAAGTTTACGCATATCTTCTCCTGTATTTGTTCCACCAATAGTAGCATGACATTGAACATTCATAAAATCTCCAATAGCTAAAACAACTTTTTGAATTTGTTGTGCTAATTCTCGTGTTGGTGATAAAACTAATGCTTGTGTTTCACGTATATTTGTATCTAATTTTTGTAACATTGCAATTGAAAATGTTGCTGTTTTACCAGTACCAGATTGTGCTTGTGCAATAACATCACGTCCTTTAACAATTGGACGAATACTACGTTGTTGAATAGCTGATGGTTTTTCAAAACCATATGAATAAATTCCACGAAGAAGATTTTCATTTAAATTCATTGCATCAAATGTTGGACATACTTCAACATCTTCGCTTGTTTCAAAATCAACAGCTTCAATATCATGACCTGTTTTAACAGTACGTTGACGTTTAGATGGACGTTCAGGAATTGTTGACATGTTGATATGTAACAAACACAAGTTTAGCAATAGAAATATGAATGACGAAATAATGAAAATGATAAATAAACTATGACCAGAGATTTCTATTGGTCTATAAAATAAACAAAGAGCAAATATAAATATAAAATTTTTAAAAGATTAAATAATATTAAGAGATATTTTAGTTTTTAATTTTTATAAATAATATAAATGAATTATGTATTTAAAACATTTAGCGACATCTATATAATCATGATTGATTATTCTTAATAACGAATCATATTGAAAACAGATGTCTCGTTTAGAAAATTAACTTTATTTCGACATAATGCTTTTGAAAATTTAACAATATGTATTGAAAATCAATGAGATTTTATTTGATCCGATCAAATTTATCCAATTATTAAAAGAACGTTTGTATAAAATTAAAACCCAATCATAAATTCGTATGATTATAAAAAATGTTTACTAACACAAAGAAAAAATATGAGTTATCGATAAAACTCATACTATAAGTTATTCAAGGTAGAATATTAAAAGAAAAGTTTTAGTATATCTAAAATAAAGGTAGAAATTTCATTAAAGATATATCACTAGGAACAATATTTTTAAAAAATGAACAAGTATTAATTATTTTACGTTCTAGATGTATATCAGCCGTGATGATATAATTGCATAATTGGTTTTTCTTCTCGTAAATCCAGGTAAACTTCTTCACTAAAAATTTCGATTTGTATTTTGTTCTTCTAGAATGTCGTCAATTACTATCACTACTGAAAATTTACCTACAACAAATGGTTTATCTCTATCTTCAAACAATAAATTGAATGAACTTTATTCAGGCTATGAAAATCATTTATCATCTTGTTCGTCGTCTCCTAATTCAACATGTTCACCAACAATGAATTTTCCCGAAGCTCAAACATCAATATCGAAAGAATCAAATGTAAAACTTCCATATCCAGTTTTATCTGATCGTCGTGATTCATCATCTATACTTTCTCTTTTACAAAAAGAAACACAAGCAACATCAAAAAAAATTCTTGATGTTACACAATTAATTGAAACTTATGAAAAAAATTTAACATCAAATCGTCTTTCCGAAAGTGATAGAAAATCATTTAAATATGAACGTGATCAACGTAAACAACAATTAGATGCTTTGAAAAAACATGAACGTCGTGTTAATTTACAAATTGATTATATAACAACAAAAACCGAAATTCGAGGTTTAGAAGATGAACAAAAACAAAATTCAGATAAAAATAAACAAATTGAAATTTTATTAAGAAAATTAAAACAAAAATTAGATCAAATGAAAATTTATATGAAAAAAAGAAATGAAGAAATGAAAAAAATTCATGAGAAAAAAGAAAAATCATCGACATGTAAGATTTAATATATTGAAAGAAAAGGAAAAGTCTAGTTTTAATTATAATAGCCAATGATAACCGAAAACAATTATTATCTGATCAAAAAATACAACAGCGATCAAGTTCATCGGATTTAGTAATAGAAATAGATCAGTAGTATGGAAAGTATAATTTATTTTTTTCAGACTCGAAAACGTCCATTACCGTTTACAAATAAACAACTCAAATCAACAACACATAATCATGCTAAACCACCGGTTGTTCGTCTAGCATCACGTTCTTCGAATCAACAAACAAAATCTCAACCACCACCACTTCAAACACCAACAGTAAGATTTCTAAAGAAGACAACAGATTCTACAATGTCAACAACTAATTCTGCATCACCGACTACACCAGCATCATCTTCATCAACTTTATCTCCTCCTTTGATTGCAAGTACAAGTGCTGAAGATGCGAATATTATTTCGAAACAGGTAAGAAGTCATTTATTTAATTCTATAATTAATTTGAAGGAAATTTTCTTCCAGAATACAATTCCATCGATTGATGAAGATGATGAATTTGATGTTCAGTTTGATATAGAAGAATTATTTGATGATGATCCATATTCGGAAAAATCCATAAAAAGATTTAAATCCGACAAACAAGACTATAAACCAACAACAGAATCTTAAAAATAGAAGTGTATATAACCGTTTGTTTTTTCTGTATATGTCTTCAAATCTCGTTTTGTTTGTGCCCGGTCGTTTCTTTTTTTTTATTATTATCTTGTCATGATGATTACTTTATTTCTACGTTCATTTATCGCTGAAAAAAAAGGTAACAACAAGAAGAAATTGTTTTCTTTCGTTTTTTCTAGATTTTTTTATAAGACAAAAAAAAAACAAAATATCATGGCGGATTCATCAGCACCAGGTAAGAAAGCAGCACGTACATTTGATATTCAAGCAATGATGGATCAAGCACGAATAGGTGCACAAGAACGATCAAATGTTGATTGGACAAATGAGATTGAAAAAGCAAAAGAAGATAATGAATTACGTATTGCTGAAATGAAATTAAAAGCTGAACAAGCAGCTAAACAAATGTCAACTAAGAATAGTAGTTCAAATAATGAAGACGATGATGATGATGATGATTTTGGTCCATCAATTTCTCTTGCTACAACATCAACTGACAATAAGGAAGATACTGATAGCGACGAAGAAGATACACGTCCACCAGAAGTAAAGTATAGAATATATGAGAGTATTTTAATTTTTCGTTTTGAATTCTAGTCAAATGATCAAGATGATGATCGATTAGATGATGATGAACGACCATTTTTTCCTTTAACACATGAAATTGATCTTAAACATGGAACAAAAACAGTATCATGTTTAACAATTGATTCCAATGGTGAACGTTTAATATCAGGTGGTTTTGATTATGAACTTAAAATGTGGGATTTTCCAATCATGAATAAAAAATTACAATATAGTCGAGCAATATCTCCATGTGAATCTCATCAATTACGTTCAATTGAATTCAGTCCTGGAAATGATATGTTACTAATTGCCAGTGGTAGTTGTCAAGGAAAAGTTATTACTCGAGATGGTAAAATTAAAAATAAAAGAGAAACTAGAAGATTTATTTATATATTTTATTTTTAGGAAAAAATATGTATGAATGTGTTCGAGGTGATATGTATTTAATTGACATGCAAAAAACTAAAGGTCATGTTAGTACATTAAATCGTGCATGTTGGAATCCAAAAGATTTAAATGTAAGTTAACTAAATTTATTTTCTAACTTCATAAATTATTTTTCTAGGAATTTATGACTTGTTCTGATGATGGTACTGTTCGTCTTTGGTCATTAATTCGTCGTACAGAACATGTTTCATGTATAAAAACAAAATCTGAAACAGGTAAAAAAAACCGCGACAACAACATGTACATATAATACATATCATACACATATTGCACAAAATGAATATTTAATAACTGCTGGATGTGATGATGGTAGTATACAAATATGGGATCGTCGTCGACCATTTGTAAATGTTACATTTATGTCACGACGTGCACATGAACCAGAAAATTCTATAACTTCATTACGTTGGTCTTATGATGGACAACATTTAGCATCACGTTCAACTGATCATACACTTAAATTATGGGATATAAGAAAATTTAAAGAACCACTTTCACAATATACAGATTTACATAATCGATTTTCAATGACTGACGTAACATTTTCACCTGATGATCGATTTTTAATAACTGGTACATCAACACGAAAGAAAACAGATGATAATATAGATAATGCAGCAAATTATGGAGCTATTTATTTTTTTAATCGAAATAATCTTGCACAACCAGAAGGACAAATTCAAGTTAGTGACAATGCAAGTGTTATTAAAACAGTATGGCATTCAAAATTAAATCAAATTATGTGTACAACAAGTAATGGATTAGTTAAAATATTTTATGATACAATACGTTCAAAACAAGGAGCATTAATATTTGCAAATCGTGAAGAACGACAAAAGAAAGCAAATGATTTCTTTATTAATATGAATATTATAAATCCACATGCATTACCATTATATCGACAAGATAGAATTAGAAATTTATCAGTTATACGAATGAAAAATCGAGAAGATCCAGTATGTAAAATTTTGTTTTTATTTTGAAATTATATAGATGAGATGTCTGTCTTTGTTCGTTGATGATGATATATTTATATATTCGAATGTCTATAACGATGCACTTTCATAGTCAACAGAAACTAAATATTCCTTCTAAGCTAATGGATGTAAATTGAACAACACTAGATGGGTATTTTGAGTGCCATAGAGTATTATGCCTTTCTTCGTCTTGTACTATATGACCGAGAATATTGCTTATTATAATCGTTGGTTTCAAAATTGCTGGAATCGAACTTCACTTTTCACGGAGATTGTCTTCAATAGGCGAACGTGATAATTGACCTTAAAATACATACGTATGCTGTACGATTCAAAACCTTTGAAATTAGCTCTGTTACTAGTCTATAAACATCCCACATATCCACACTGCCGGTACATATTTGATTTCGATCTACTTGATCCTTTTCTTGAATATCTTTTATACATGATCTCACGATTAAATTTTTTCTAAATAATAGAAGTTTTCATGTGATGTTTAATCTCTTTTTAATTAATAATATTCTATTAAAATATTATATAAACAACTACATAATTTATAATATATATTATATGTTTCTTCTAAATTTACATCAGCCATCGAGTTAGATAATCTTTTCCTGCAATATATTTTTATGACGTCAATATTTTCAGAAGTATTCTTATACTTTTAATAAACATAGTTGTAATATAATCAATGCAACTCGGATATAACTAGAACAAATATTACACATTTTCTTTTATTTAGGTCAAATCCAAACGTCCAGATTTACCTATCAGTGGTGCTGGTTCAGGTGGTCGTATTGGTGTACATGGTGGTACATTATCATCATATATTGTTAAGAATATCGCGCTACAAAAACCACCAGCACAAAAAGAAGATTCTCGAGCTGTTTTACTTAGTTATCAAGAAAAATGTGAAGCAGAACCATTTTGGGTTACACCAGCTTATAATCAAAATCAACCAAAACCAATTTTTCAAGCTTCTACTCAAGATACACAACGAAAGAAAGAAGATGATGATGATGAAATTGCACCACTTTGGAAAAAACAAAAAACATAATCTTTTTTTTTTCTGTCTGCCTCTCTCTGTTTATTTCATATTTCGTTTTGTATAATGTATAAATAAATATATATATAATCTACTTTGATATCAACTAAAAGTAGATTATTTTGTTGAAATCTAATTCAATTGATTCTCAATTATTTATTAAGTGTAATAACAATGAATGAACATATTGTGAATACACTCATAGCTCAACAACATGTTGTAATATTGTCCGTCTAATTAATGTCGTAAATAAAAACAGAATAGTGTCAAGTAACATCTGAATGATTTCTTTTTCTTTTGTTATTTATATGTAAATACTTCATATATATATTTTGCGTCGTTCATCATATCTCATTAGTTGTCTATCAAACGAATGTTTTCCGTTTTGACTAAATGATTATTTTATCAATAGATATAATGAGACAAAAAGAAAAAATACTCTTAAAATTCTTTCTATCATAAGAAAAAAAAGCTTCTAGTTCGAATAAATCTATCTCATAACTAAATTCTATTCTTCGATCTATCATAATAAAATCAACGAACGCAAAAAAGAAAAGAAAAATGACATATTCAATATAAACATCTTAGACACAAACAAGTTAGATTCTCCTCCATATTCATTAATTGGATCTTACAGAATTTCTTTTTTCTCTTTTTTCAAGTGTATTCTATATATATATTATGTACTTCATAAAAGGTATATAATATTTATCTCGTTTAAATAAAATAACATACATTTTTCCATATTATTTTAATGACATCGACAACGTTATCACATTTAAAACCAATTGTTGAAACTTGTAATCATATTAAAGATCAAACAATAGAAACTCCAATATCTAATAGTTGTCCAACAGATAATTATCGTTATTCATCTCCATGGCCAGCATCCGATTATGCAACAAAAACGACGCGAGCTTTATCATGTAATGAACCAAGACCAAGAACTTCATCATCAACATCAACGAATACGAATCGATTAAAACATATATGTGCATGTGTTAAACGACGTTTTACTATATCAAAAGATAATGTTGATATAAATCGAGGTTTATCATCACGTTTTACTAAATATAAATCATTTTCATCAACACTTGATGAACCCTATAATGATTTTGAATGGCCAGATTTCGAACATATTTATGATACAATTCCACATTGTCTTGCTAAAGCATTACCAGGTCTTGATGATCTTTCAATCGATGAAAATTATGATATAACACAAGAAACATGCAATACTTTTACAGATGAAACAAATGAACTCATTCCTTTATTTGAAAATTGTAAACGTGGAATATATTATCGACGAAATGCTATATGTCCCAAACTTGATAAAAGTATTTATAAAGGACAATTAGATGTATTTGTTCAACAATTAATGATTGAAAAATTAATGAGAACATGGACTTAATAAACAAAAAGTTTCCTTTTGTTTTTGTACTATATTTATGTAAACAGTATCTATATTTGTATATTAAATAAACTACAACAAAAAATGAACTATTGCCTATTTGTCTTTAATGGCTGAATATCATTTTCTGACGAAATACTTTCAGGTGCATATCTATTGATATGGATAATTAAAACTTAATAATATTTTTCTTTCGACGACATACTTTTATTTTCTATTTATAGTTAACTACAAATAAATCTAAGAATTACTTTAGCACGTACATAAATCATTGAAACATATACAAAATAAGTTTTTTTTTTACAAATGTATTACGAAACTAAATTTAAATTAAGATGTTTTTCTCGCTAAGTACTTCTCGACTGTTTATTATGGCGGACCTATTTCATCATATATAAATTATATTGCAGCATAGTCTGTCTATCTATTTATATAAAACGTAGATATTTATCAATAAATTAGATGATTTTATTCATTATAAGAAGTAAATATATTTACATAACAATTGTTCGAAAGTATTAAACAATATACATTTGTTTGCTTTTTATATCTTTATATAAAAGATAATTGATTAAACATTGTGAAATTGATAAATTTACAATTTCTTTTCGTTTAATACCAGCATGACTATTAATTGTAATTCGACAGAAACTTTTTAATGATGGTAATTTATATGTTGATAATATTGACCATAAATGAACTTCACCATTACGTGTACCTATACCCATAGTTTTTCCATCCGGTGCTGATGTAACACATAGAACGTTATTTTGTGATTGTTTAAAGCTTGGTTCTGTTAAACGTGCAGATTCAATTGGAAACAGACGAACATGACTTGAATAAAAAAGAATATATCTGTATTTTTAATTTTTTTTATTCTTACTTATCATCACAAGTACTAATTATAATTTGATTATATTTAGTAAAAACAACCGATCGTACAAATGCTCCATTATCACCACCAGCATATATTTGTAATGGAATTGGAATTTTATGAATAAATTCTTTTAAAAGTTCTCCAGTTATTGTTGACCAAAGTAAAATACGTGTATCGAAAGAAGCAGTTGCTAATAAAGCACTATATAACAAAAAAACAAATATTTTCCTAAGAAATATTTTTTTCCAAATAAAATCTACCTATCCGATGAAAAATCACAATCAGCAACACTATGTAAATGTCCTTCAAATTTCCATATCTCTTCCCATGTTGCTGTATCATACAATACAACTAATTCATACGGACCTACTGCACATAATAATGTTTCATCTGGAGACCATTTAACTGTATTAATAACATGTGTCCATTCATCTAATGTTTTATACATATTACCTAAGATAAAGAACATAATTATACTATTACAAAAATTCAAATGTCTTACCATCATCAAGTAAATCCCATAATTTAATTTTTGTATCATGTGAACATGATGCTAACTGCATTGTACATGGTGTAAATGCTAAACCACATACAGCTGATTTATGATCTGTTAGAACAAGTATTAATTCCGCGTTATCAACATTCCAAATATTTATTTTTCCATCAGCAAGGCCAGCTGCTAAAAATAAGTTTTTTGTAAAATCAAAACGATTATTAACTGATAAAGTTGAACGATGTCGACCTAATAATTCACGTCGTGTTAATGGTAATGATATATTTTGATCGAATGAATCTGTTTTTATTATTCGTTGGCCAAATGCTAATGACCAAACAGATGATGAACATACGAATTTTTCATGTACATACAATTCATCTGTTTTACTAGTTGCATGCCAGTTTGGACAATAAATAACAATAATGCAATCAATACCATAAATATCTTGTTTAGGTATTGCTAAATAATGAGAACATGGTGAAAAACTTGTTTTCCATACATTATTTGGAAGAAAAGTAGATGATGTTAAATAATTTTGTAAGGAATCATTAAGAGGTAAGACATTAGAAGTTGCTGAAAAAAAATTGAGAAATGAAAAAAATAGTTCTATATAAATCTATACCTAATGATTGATTTGTCATCAATAATTGTATATTATTAATAAAACATCTAAAAATAAATTATTATAACGTAAAAGTTTTTAAGACGTAGTTTAACATTTATTTTATGATATATAACACGAGTGCTTTCATTCTCAAGAGAAAATGTGTAATACAATATTCTCTTCTTCCTTACGACTCTTAATATATTACGTACTATGTCTAAACTATAAATATCTTATCGTAATATACTTTCTTTCAATTTTATTCTTAACGTTGATCTATTTTTAATCTGGAATTAAAACGTAATTTAATATTCTATATATATCTTCTCTTAGTCATTTTATACTGATATATTCTAGATTATTGATTTAAAATACCAATAGAAAAAGAAGGATTCTGTTTCTTATCAAAATTTCAACAAAAACATAATCATAAAAAACTTGTGACTTATGTCAAAAACTATTTTTATAAGAAAACAGTGATGATTATATACATCATCTACGTTCTCAAATCATAATCGTATGTACATACAAATAAAAAAATAACAAAATGAATAGAATATAGATTTACTTGATTGAGTGTGTAAAATAAACATCAAGCTTATTATTCGTCGATAAAATATATAGTAGGAAAGACTACAAGAAATTTTACGATGTAACTTTCATAATGAAGAAATAGATATGAATGATTTTATTTTTCGAAAGATAACAAATCATTCAACCCATTGTATACATTAATATCGAGTTAAAGCAGACAGGTTTCAAGTGTGTGAGTATATATCAATGTTTATTTATTTTTCTCATCTGACTAAAAGATATTACACTCAACTGATAAGAAGAAAAGTATGATTTGAACTCTATTAGAAAATGTCGAAAGATTAGAAATTAAACATATGAAGTTTATACTATGAAAAATAAGACTATTAGTATCTGATAAAGATCTTTATATGTTACAAAAGAAAAAGAATATTGTCGAAAATATTTATCTTACACACGTCTCAAGGTTACCCTTGAATTTATGTTTATGTAATGTTACACTCAATGTAAGTGAACATTCTATACAATAAAACTACTAATTTATAATGTTTCACGTTGATTTTAATCTATATGCAATTAAAAATAAATCAACATTATCGGTAAATATAATTAGTATTAAACAAGGTCGAAAAAATCTTTTCCTAGAAAAATAACATATATCTATATATAGTAATGAAGTACTAGAATACATAATATTTAATGATGTTTACTATGCAATAGTTGTTTGTAAATGGGTACATTGTATGAATTGTGTTCCAAGTGATCTAACAAAAGAATTATCTGTGAACATCCAAATTAGTAAATGGTATATTATTATACGTCGTAACTATGAACCAATCAAATTCTTATGGATAAGCTTACGATTTGATGACATCAGTATATTGATCATAGTCAATAATCTATTTGAAATATATATTTCTTTGTTAATTGTTTAATACAAATAATAGTATTTGAAGTTCCTTGATTGAAAGTTTTGATTTCGTTTTCGCTATTCAATTATTTATCTTTACATGAATTTCAATTGAAGAATGTATTATTAAAATACGAATTAAAATCATATTTTCTAACATAAAGTACTACTTTGACTTCA